TTTCTACGAGAAAGAGCTAAGCGAGTCCTTACACGAGCGTTACTTGTTTTATAACTCGACAAATTTCTATTCTTGATAATGAATAAATGCATTGTCTTTACTGCATGAAAAGTTGAATTAACTCCTTTCAAAATGTACTTACTCTAGTAATAAAAAGAAATGACCAGAACCAAATTGAATTATTTGGTCTCTGGCGAAGATGAGTTATAAGTAACTATTTTATCGTTTATTTATATATGCTTTAACATCGATATAAAATAAAGAGTGGGAATATGATAAACATTCGTTTTTTTAGTGAAGAGGAGTCTTATGATTATAATTGCACATAATAGACAATTAGTTAATTACTAAATAACGATTGTTGTGTGTTCCGCACAATTGAAAATTGTAAATTATTGGCGATATATAGAAAAAAACATATATTCACCTTTTTTTTATAGAGTAATTTACATCGATAACCAGAGATGGGCAAGTCAAATCAAATTTGACTTGACTTGACCTGACTTGAAATTAAGCCATAAACTCAAGTCAAGTCAAAAAGCATATATGAAGAGGTTTCAATATACTTTTTTTTTGTATTTTACTAGTCTTATTATAGAATCAGAGTGTAAAAGATAAATATAGTTAAAAATGAGAGTTTTGCTAAAAACTAACTCTAAATAACCGGAAATTTGTATTCCAAAATTTTATTCAATAGAAAGATTTTCTATAATAAGTTTTGACTTGAAACATGACTTGACTTGAAATATATGTGACTTGACTGGACTTGACTTGTGAAAACGTCTGACTTGCCATCTCTGTCGACAACTACAATTTATTGAAAATTAAAATGAAAGTTTCAGAAAAGAAAACAATGCAAACGAGAATTCTTTATTAATCTTCCGTCGTGCGATGTTTATTGTTGTCTGATCTTCTGAAAATTATTAAAAATGCATATTCCCATCACTTACTATTTTTATTCTCTTTCTCGTCGAGAAGAGTCCGTTAATCGTAAATTGTTTAATAACAAAAAAGAAAATTTCACATACTGAAAAAATTAATATGAGACATGGGTGTGGGTGTCGGTGTTTATAACATTACACACCCACTTGATCAATATCTTACATTTTTTCTTGTTGCACTGAATATTGAAAACGGCCGATATATTTCATTGATTGTATTTATTCTTTTCATAATGTTTTTTGAAAACAATTAATTGTATAGAACAATAAAAAAAAGGCACAATTATTTGACTATATGAAATCTTTCAATGATATACACACAACAGAATGAAAATAAATGTTTAATCTATACAATATAAAACAAGTTGAAATAAATAAATACATCTAAATATGTAGAAAAAGAAAGTAAAAGATGCAATAACAATAATAAAAAAACAAGATATCCAAAAAAAGAAGAATTTTATTCGATTTGATCGAATTGATTTGTTAAAAGATATGAAATCAATGATGCTTTTTGTGCATCTAATGCTTCAAGTTGTTGTAAATAATGTAATTGATCTGTAATTGTTATTGTTGATGAAGCTAAATTAATAGAGAAAAAAAATATTTTGTAAATAAAAAAAAAGAATTCCATTTCTTTACCAAGTACAGCAATAACATTTCTTGTTACACAACGAAATGCATTTTGCAAATGAATAACTATTGAATTTCTTTGAGCAATAAGTGTACAACGTTCAAATGAATCTTCAATAGCTAATTGAATAATTTCATAATATGACTTACGTTGACGAGCAACCTGAATATATGAAAATAAGATTTATTAAAATAATTATTTTAACTTACAATACATAAGGAATGAATTAATTGAGCATATTCTTTATGATAATTTTTCATCTAAATAAAATAGAATAATCATTAATTCAATATTATTGGATTTTCAACTCATTGTCTTGAATAAAGACGCATGTCTTTAGGGTGAGTGTGCGGTGTTTTATCTAAGTTTCGTTTTTTGGATGACGGAATCGAAATTTAGGGTGGGCGGCGTTCATTCAGTGCCCGCCTCAAAATATACAGCTACTGTATTTTTTCGGGTGAGCAGATCAAATTTTAGGGTGGGCGGCACTCATCCACTGGATAAAACACTGTGGGTGTGAGTGTCTATCTTTTACCCACATCCTCAAATATATACTGACCATTTCAAATTTAAGTTAAATACCTATTCAATTCTAATGGTAAGACTATGATCAATATCGAATATCTCGACTCATCAGTTATTAAAAATGAAGAAATCATTTTGTAGATTTAACTATAGTTAGTTTTTTGAAAATTGTTTTCATTAGACCTGCAAGTCTAACTGAATTCATACTTACAGCAAAAGCAATCAATACATTAGTTAATAATTCTCTACCACAATAAAATAATAATTCAGCAACATATTCGGATTTCCATGGAATTGGTTGTGCTAAAATAGAAAAGGTTAATTTTGTAGAATTTATTTAAATAAAATCGTTTTCTTTTGTTACCAATAAGTTCATTTAATAAAGCTAATTTACTATTACTATTCCATGCTTTTTGAGCATGTACTGATCGATTAAGTACATTAAAAGCTCGACTTAAATCAAAATATGCTTGTTCTTCATCAACATTTGGATGAATAAAAAAATTTGTTCGATCACGAGAAAATTTTTCCCAATCAATTTTATCTGATGATACTGGTCCAAATAATAAATAAATAAGTCGAGCTTGAAACCAAATAGGTTGTTTATAAAGAATAACATTTAATAAACAACCACGATGTGCATGAAGTCGAATAAAATCAAAATAAACCAAACGAAAACAAGAACGAATTGTTTGTTCAAGTCGTGTTTCAATTCCAACTAAGAAAAAAAATAAAAATCAACAATATGTATTTCTTTTTTAAATAATAAATATACCATGTTCACATGAATAAAATCGATCAATCTTTTTCTTTAATTGTAAATAAGAATCGAATTGAGAAAATGCCCACGAAATTTCTCGTTCAGACCAATGTTTTGTTGCTTCACCAAAAAATCGACCAATATGACATAAATCTTCAGTATTTGAACCATCACTCGTTAGATTTAGCTATTGAAATAGAGAAATGCGATCGAAAAGGAGTATTAAGATGTATACAGGGTGGAAATTTGCATCTCCCTTCGCAGACCGTGATCGATACTATAGTACATCCTTGTCTATGCATGATTAAGGTCTCATTAATAATAAAATGCTTTACATAGACACTTGTACAAGCAACCATCGTTCGTACAGTACTACTGACTCATATTTGAAGACTATACGCATTAGAAATAGAACAAAATTGTTTTCTTGAATGTTTTATACAGTAGTCAAAAATATACATCAGAATTGTTAGTAAAAAGCTTTTCCCTTGATACTTAGATATGCTAATCTTCTCTAGGACATATGTATTGATGGAAGAACATTTACAAAATTAAATAACTATCATAGAATTATGCGATTAACCTTGATACATACGTATGTATGAGTAATAGATAAGAAATAATGATTTGATCTAATGCAAAGTCTATTATCCATACTTTTACTTAAGTAATCTCAAATAGATATAAATCATTGACTACATAAGTTCTTAACTTGACATATTGATTATCTTTTATATTCTACTCGATTATAAAAGAATTTCTTTGTATCTTCAAAAAAAAGTACAATTGAAAATATTTACCTTTGTAAAAAGTAATTCTTTAATAATTTGAATACGACGCGCAACTGGTACTAGACTTGTCATTAATCCATACAATCGACCTAATTATAATTTCTAGAATATTGATAAAATACTCACATCATATTATCTTACCGAGTCTTTCCCAAGCTCCTGATCGTCGTTGATTCGGTGATATTTCTAATACAGTTTTAATATAACGAGTACCCATTGATGATCGAAGAAAATTTAAAATAATAGAAAAATATTCATTACTCGTACAAGCTAATTGATGAAGATCATATGCTTAAGACAAAATAAAACTTATTAGAAATTGAACATAAATGAAAAGAATAACAAAACTTACGAGATAATTTTAAGAAAATTAAATCACGCATTTCAACTGGTAATTGATTAAGATAACAAATATTCGATTGAGAAATAAATGTTGATTTTATTTTGTATGGTCTAAAGAAAACTTGAAATAAATTTTCGTTTTTCATTACTTATTAAACTTACACAAGTTGTAATAAACGTTTTTTTGTTGATAATGATGATGATGATGATAAATCATCTTTTATAGCGAAATATTTACGTTTACTGCTGCTCATCATGTTGATAATATGCTAAACGAACGAACGAACGATGGATTTGATTTGGACGGGAAAACGAAATTCATATAGGCAAAAATGTTCATAATTATAATATATATCTTTATATTAAAAGTAATTTAAGAAATGAAAAAAAATAAGTTGAAATAAATTATTTTCCTAAAAAGATGAAAATAAAATATATATAAGTTATAATTTTCAAGATGTAAGATGTCACTAGTAATTTGTTCATTTAATTGGATGAAAAAAGAAAATGTCTGTCGTCGCGTAAATAAAAATGAAAGTCGAAAAAAAGAAAAGTGTTCTTTTTCTTTTTTAGAATATTATAAATAAAATTTTAATGTTTATAATGAATAGAAAAGAAGTCTTCTATTGATTGCTTGTATAGGACATTATGTGCTTGATAGATTCATCATTAATTATGAATAATAATGATGAACTCTTACATGTTATCTATGATTATACAAGTAAAGGAGATGATGAATTAACATTAAAGTATGAATTTTTAGAAAAATCTTTTAATACAAATTTTTGCTTTATTTTTAAAGACGTGGAAGTATATTAGAAGTTTTATCTAAAGATAAAGAAATTTCCGGTTCAGAAGGATGGTGGGCTGGAAGACTTATTGATTCAGAATCTGTTGGAATATTTCCAGCAAATTTTGTAGCAAGTGTAGTACCAAATTTACCTACTATCGATTATAATGATTTACAAATTAAAGATTTGATTGGTGTTGGTGGTTTTGGGTAAGAAAATAGTAGTTTTTTTAAATATCTGAATATTTAAATAGACAAATTGAATTATGTTTGATTATATAAAACTAGTTTTTGTTTTTAGTCATGTTCATTATGGAAAATTCGGTGAAGTTGATGTAGCAATAAAAACAGCGAAATCATTAACATCTTTTAATGCGATTAAAAGATCTCCGTCATATAAAACTCATAGTGATGATCAGTCGAGTACTGTACATAAAAATGTTATTGATGGTCTTTTACGTGAAGCACGAGTTTTTTCGAATTTAAAACATTCAAATATAATTCAATTATTTGGTGTAAGTTCATCAATAGAAACAAATAATCTTTATCTTGTTATGGAATATGCACGAGGTGGAGCATTAAATCAATTATTAGAAAAAAGACAATCTGGTCTTTATCCAAATGTATTTATTCATTATGCAAAACAAATTGCTGATGGAATAAAATATTTACATGACGAATCATTAGGACATATTATTCATCGTGATCTGAAATGTTCAAATAGTAAATAAAAAAAAAATAATAAGTCAAATAAATTTATATATTTTTATTTTAGTTTTAATTTTCGAAGATATTGAAAATATTCATGATGATAGTGAACTTTTAGACAAAACATTAAAAATAACTGATTTTGGACTTGCAGAAAAACAATTACAAACATCAGGTGTATTAACTGCTGGAACATATGCTTGGATGAGTCCAGAATGTATTCGAACTAATGAATTTTCAACCAAATCAGATGCATGGAGGTAATGAGAATATATTCACAATCGATGAGTTGATTTCAGATTAATCCTTTGATGCATATATACATACAGGGAAAGAGAGAAGTCAGTCACGATATATTGTCATTTTAATTTAATTATATTCCCTAAGGAATAGTGACTTATGTCAAGCAAAAGATCGATTATATTATTTCTAAAAAACATTCGAGTTTAATTTAAAATCGAAAAGTATTAAATTTGAGTAGATCTTCTTTTAGATGTCAGAAATAATTCATAAGAGAATATGTCTGATTATTGAACTATATTTTTTTGCTTTGAACAGTATTGATTAATGTCGGAAAGATTTAGAATTAGAGCCTCATAGGAGTAGTTGTTTTCAAGGAGAAATCAGCTTACTGATTTTATTTTGTAGATTGAGTTATTCTTACAGAAAGAGAAAAAAACATTAACTTATCGAACCAGGCTAGATTAATCGATAAAGATGGAGGAAAAGACAAGTGATTTCTTTTTACAGACTTATAACCATAACAAAAAATATTGTCATTTTTAGTTTTGGTGTTCTTCTCTGGGAATGTTTAACGGGTGAAATTCCTTACAAGGGTTTCGATCAACCTCAAGTTGCTTATGGTATTGCTACTAATCAATATTCACTTCCTATTCCAAGTACATGTCCAGAAGAATTCTCACAATTAATGAAAGGTATATATATATTTTCTTTCTTTGCTATGATGTTTATCTTTTGTAATGATTAGATTGTTGGCAAATTAATCCAGAAGACCGTCCAACATTTAGTGAGTTATATGATCAAATTAATACAATAATTGAAGAAAAATATGCAAATAATCAGTTATATAATATGGAAACAAATGAAGAATCTTATTCGTCATTACAACAAGACTGGCGGAAAGAAATTCAAGATATATTTGAAGAATTTAAAGAAAAAGAAAAAGTAAAAAGATTAGAATATTAAATATATATATTTTTTGTTTCTTTTTCAGGAAATTCATGATCGTGAACAAGCTATGTTTCAGTTAGATCTTGCACAAAAACATCAACGTATGCAATTAGAACAATGGGAACGTGAATTACATGATCGTGAAATGAGTGTTATTGAACGTGAATTATCATTATTAATGCTAGCGAATAACCAAGAACGTCTTCATCAACAAACACCAAAAATACAAAAACGTTCAGGACGTTTTATGCGTTCACTTCTACATGCAACACTTAATGGAAATGGACATTTTTCATCAACAGCAGCTACAGATTTAATTAGTAGTCCAAAAGGTTTGTTTCATAGAATTAAAAATTAAATATTTTACATTTTAATTTCCTTTAGATTTTCGTCATATAATATCTATTTGTCGTGATCATAATACTCATCGTCATCATCATGAATATGCTTCATCATCACCTATTCCAAATTCTCTATCATCAACAACCTGCTCATCTACTAATTCTCATCGTAAATATACAAGTACTAGTACACCAACAACACCAAATTTAAATCGACTTCGAACATTAACTTGTAAGTATTTTATCAAATTAAAAAAACCAACTAATCTAGTTTTTTGTAACAAAATATAATAAGAAATCAAATAGATAGAATATTACCATAATTGTATATTTCTAGCAAGTGGAGATCTTACTATAAATAGAATATTTGATGAAGAATATTTAATAAATAATGATGGTAAGAAAATAATTCAAAATGGGATCATAATATTATTAAAAATAAGTTCTTATTAACTTTTTATATCTGCTTTCTATTTCACATAATAATAGACATGCTTCTTAATTATCTTATATATCTTATAGAATTTAATTCGATTAAAATAATTACTCTTCTTTTATTTAATTTATATTATAAAAATAAATTGATTTTTTCTATTCAGTTCATCCACATGATTTAAACCATCCACCAATATCTCCTGATAAACCTTCGCGTTGTTTACCAATTAATCAAACAAAATCTTCATCAACTATAAAACAACATTCACGTTGGCGTAAACCAAAAACATGGTCAGCATCATCAGCAACGAAACGAAAACATGGTAAAACAACAAATATACGTCCAGGTGATTCAAAATGGTATTTAGAAACTACATCAACTACAAATACAAATGATGATACTACAACAATATCAAGTACAAAATCAGCTCCCGTTATTATTGGATCAAATCAAAAATTAGGTAAATAGAAAAAAATAAATAAATTCAAGAACAAAAAAAAAATATTTCTAATATTATTTTTTCAGAAAAGTCAGATGATAAAAGTAAGTTTTATAAATCTAATAAAATATAAAAATAAAAACTAACATTTTTATATTTATATATATATATATAATATTCATTTATATACAGAAACAATCGATCGTTGTTAATATATTATGTATGCAAGAGTTCTTCGTAATATATATATACATAGATAGAAAAATACTATTAATTAACACTTAAATTTGACTACTTCTTCTTCTTCTTCTTCGTATATTTGATTAATAGAGAGCACATGTTAGATATCGCTTCTTTTGCACTTTAACTTTTATTTTGTTTTTCTCTTTATTTAAATGAATGAATTTATTTTTTCATAGGTTATTCTTCTTCTCCTTCCACATGTTCAACACCAAATGATCGTTCATTAGCGCGTGCTGTTTTTGATATTAATTCTATGTTAGCTAGTATTGGACTTGGTCGTCGTCTACCTACTCAATCTTCATTATCGACAGCATCCTCCTCCTCTTCTTTAATTTCAACTCCAACAACAACAATAAGAAATCCTCTTCATGAAACTATTTTTCGTTCAACAAGTGAAACAAAATCTAAACCAATTTCGACATCGTCATCTTCAACAAATACATCTCCATCTCCATTAACTAAAAAAGAACATAAACGAACTTGTTCAACACCAATAACAAATATACAAACTCAAACAAATACTTCTCGAGCACGACCTAATTATTCATCTACTCGACCGAATTCTCTAGCACTTTCTTTTATTCCTCGATCATCAAGACCAATAAATACAAGTCATTCAGATTCTCAATTAGTTGATAAACATTATAATCGTTCAACAAAAATTACTAGTACACCAGAAGAAGATGAACAGACAATTAATGATGATGGTGATGATAGATTTTATTCAGCACAATCATCAAAAACAACTACACCTATGGTACAATCATTTGGTATGCCAATAAAAACATCAAATTCTCAACCACAATTAAATCATCCTTGTTTACTTGATATTGATACAGAAGAACAAGTAGAACATAAAACTAAAGTTTTACCACCCTCAGTTGATAAAAAAAAATTATTTCATTCATCTGATACTCTTGAACGAGATTTTCTTCATTGAAATTTTGTTTTTCTTGTTTTTGATTTTACCCTTTTTTCTATATTATATATATATAGTCTCATTTATATGTTGTATTATTTAATATTTTGCGTGTGTGTATTCTTTGACTCGACTATATTTCTGTGAATTTGTGTGTTTGCAAAAAAAAAAGACATTCTTTATTTTGATGATAATTGTTTATACTATAAGGACTAAAGAAATATAATACGACGGAAATAATGAAACATTTTTTGGTTTGTATTGAAAACGCCGAGGAGGAAATGGCGAAGGAAAAAATATCGAAAAATAAAAGTCGAAGGAAAAATTGTCGAAAATAAATGTCAATGAAGAAAAAGTCGAATGAATGGAAAATAATCTTTTATGAGAAAGATGAACATCTTATCTTATTTTGTTGAACAAAAGAGAGGATATATATATTAGTATAGGAAATTAGGGTGTGAGTGTGGGTGGGAATCTTGGTGTCAGCGTTTTTCTTGTTATTCTACCCACACTCTCATTATCATTTAATAATGACATCTCAAAATTTTCGACATTTCCCACGATCGACATTATTTTTCCGATGAATTTTTGCGTCGATATTTATTTTTCGTTCGGCAATTTTTTCTTCGACTTCTTTTCTTCTACTTTTTCTTTTCGATATTTTCACTATAAATCAACATTTTTTCAATGACTAAAAGATAGGCACCCTGAAGACTACATCAAAGTTTGTTTTGGCCGATGAATCTATTGATATATGCTAAGGTTTTGTTCGAAATCTTTCGATGAATGTCTGATATTTAGAATAGATATGAGAAAGAGTTATAAAATCTTTTATTTCGTTTTTCTAATGAATAACATTTGAAAAACGGTTTTTTAAAGTAAAAACAAAACAAATAAGAATACATATGAAATGTATCTGTTTAAGCATATTGTTCTAATCATTGTTTCCATGATTTTAATTGAACTGTTGGCATCGAATCTAAATAAATAAGTTTCAATTATGAATACTTTAGAAAATCATAAAACATACCGAAAGTAGATTTTTCATTCATTTTATTGGAAGATCCTAAATATTAACTTATATTAAAGTTATAAAATTTGACAAAAACATACCTTGTGGATTAGATTTCCATCCAAACAAAGATTGTGTAACACCTATTCAATTAATAAATAAATATTAGGAAATTATCTTCAATTGTAAAATTACCCTGTGATGCAGCTGCATTACCATTTTCTGTTTCGAAATTAGATGATGGCATTTGACCTAAAATTTAACTATTAAATATGAATATTAATAAAAGAAATCAGACCTGTTCGTGTTTGTTGTTGTTGATTTGAAACTATTTAATAAAAAAATAACAAATTACATTCATATTTGAAGTAAAATATTTTTCCTGCATTTTAACAGAGAATTCAACTCAAAAACTTTTTTTCCGTCTTTCTCATTAGATGGACAATAATCTTCATTCGATTTCATACATATTCAATAAGCGAAACTAGCAACTCGATAGTAAGAAAATCAGTTTATAGTACCTTGCCATGATTGGGGTTGAGCAGTATATTGTGTTTGAAAATCTGATGATGCTTGGAATTGATCTACAAAGATGTATCAAAACAGTTCTCTTATTAAAATTAAATCTAATCTAAACATACCATTTCCACTGTTTGACCATTGTGGTTGTTGTCCTTTAGAATTTCGAGATGAGAAACCTAAATCATATTTATTATATTTCTTTTTTTATTCAGAAATCAAATAAACCTTGTAAATGAAATATTTTTGGTGGTACTGTTGCTGTTTCCATATATTGATTATTCAAAAGTTGTTGATTTGAATCTAAAATAACATGAAGATGTATAACATAATCAAGAAAGAAATATATATTACCTTGTAATGATTCTGTTTGAGAAACAAAACGTTGATTCGATGGTGTTCTCATGTTTGAAACTTGATCTAATTTGTATATATTCAATATGAATTTTTGTTTTATTGAAAAAATGAGATTTCGATAGGTTTTAAAGTCCACTAGAACTCGTGTTTATGATCTCAATTTAGATTTAATTGACCACAATCAATTTGCATTTTTTTTCTTTAATGATTAATTTCGAAAAGTATATCAAGATTCTCTTCGCATTATTTATAAGAGAAAAATCTTATACATGAATGTGACTTCTTATTCCGGTGATATAAATCTTAGCTTAATAATTTCTATAGATCAAACAAAAACCTACTATTTTGTTGCCATTGTCCAGATCGATCGGTAGTAATTGGTTGTGATTTTTCCATAACAACATTATCTAAAATAAATAAAAAATTTTATATTTTTTTTAAATAATAAATTCTTACTTTGCCATTGAGCAGATTTAATATGATCATAATGTTTATCATCGCTATTAAAATATAACAATAAAATATATTTAAGAAAAAGCAATCAATTTATTTACTTTGTTGTTATTAAACTAATAAATGGTGAACGTAATAAATCTGGTAATGATCGATCACAACGTTTGTTTTCTTGATCCCAATAAAGATTTGAATTACATGGTTGAAAAAAGATAGTTTTTTTATCACAATTAATATAAGCATGACGACTAAATGCAAATGGATGAAATTGTGTTTTACTTGTTAAACAAGGATTTGGTACACCTGTAAATGAAAAAAAAAAATATCATATTTTAAATTCATATAAAATGAATTATATACTTCGATCGCAACTTTTGCCATAAGTTTGTTGTTTACCACAAATACAAACATAATCTTGTGAATAATCTAATGCGTTGAGTTTTCGACATTCATTACCTTCACCACATGGATCATTGACACAAGCACTTTTTGGTATTTCACATCGTTCACCAGTCCAATCTCGTCGACAAACACATTCTAATTTTAAATCAGGTAAGATTATACATTGTCCTTGATTTAAACAAGGTTTTTTTTGTTCACATAAATCAATACAAGCTCTTGCAGTTTCATTAAAGATTCCACCATTTGGACATGTAAAAATTTCATAACGATATTCATCACGACATACAAAATATTTTGTATTATCTGGTAAATAAGCATTTTTAATATTTGCGCGAACACGATAACATGAGATTGATGCTAAAAATGATGAAGATTTATGTCGAAAAAAAGAAAGAAATAGATTTAAGATAATACTAACTAAATCGATCTTGATCGACTTCAGGTACGACGTCATTAGAAAAACTTTAAAGAAGAAATTCATTTAAATAAAATAAATATTTGAACTTACGAATCAATAACAGGTTGTAATAATCGATTGGTATCTTCGACTGCTTCTTGGAATCGACCAAATAAAGCAGTTTTTTCAAAAGTATCCGAAGGGAATAAACCTATCAATATACAAATCAATTAAGTATATAAAATTAATTGATAAATAAATCATACGAAAGGCTACTCTTTCACTGTTGGCACAAAAAACAATCACTGAAATCAATGCAAAGCTAAATGAAAACTATAACGAGAAAATCCAATGAAATATATATCGATGTTAGTTTAAATACGAACCATATTTGCCATCGTATAAAATATAAAAGTGAAAAGAAACTACGCAACGATTCTTATATATATATGTATACAGATAAGATAGAACGAATAAATCATCACCTCGATTGCGAACTATACATCGATTATTATACCGCTTCTCGTCTCTCATATCATTCTAGGTAATGAACTATATGGAGAAAAATCATCATACTAGTCTTAGTATATCACATTATTTATATAAAATGAATTTTCAAAACAACAGACAGATATTTTTATGTACCAATTATAACCTTTTCATCCAGTTAAATCATATTTATATATGTATTAGAATAGACTGATATTACTCAAAATCTTTCTTATATATTTTCTAAACAGTTTAATAGCCCATTGCAAGTATTATTTATATCTTCAATTTCGTAAGATCCAATTTTATTGATGGAAAACAAAATGAACAAAATAAAAAATGATTTAAATCTAATTTTATATATTCTGTTCATGTGAGTCATTTTTCATTAGATCTAAGATTTGATCCCATATTCTGCATTAATCGAACGGCCAATAAGTAATCGTCGAACTTCACTTGTACCAGCACCTATTTCATATAGTTTTGCATCACGAAGAAGACGACTTGTTGCATAATCATTAATGTAACCATTACCACCAAGAATTTGTATACCATCAAGACATAATTGAGTAGCTTTTTCAGCACAATATAATATAACACCAGCACAATCCTAAATCAAATAAAAATTTTATAAATGAAAAAAAAACAAAATTAGTTCGTTTACTTTATTGCTAACAATATTTTTATCAGCAGCTCGTGCGGTCGAATATAAATAAGAACGACAAGCATTTAATGTTGTATACATATCAGCTATTTTTGCTTGGATTAACTGAAATTTATTTAGAAATTATTACAAAAAAATTAGGTAAATAATCTTACTTGATAAGTACCAATTGGTTTACCAAATTGTTTGCGTACATGTGCGTATTCAAAAGCCGTATCACAGCAAGCTTGCATCAAACTAAAGATTAATACATAAGGATAGGAAAGATTTTCTTCTTGACTTTTCTAAGAGAAATAAAATATGCGGATAGGATCGTTTTCTTTCTCATAATTCATGTCAGTTATTTATATTGAAATAAAGTCTATTCTATAATATAAGTCTTACCCAACAGGACCAGCTGCAAGTACAAGACGTTCATAATCCAAACCACTCATTAATACATAAACACCACGATTTTCTTTCCCAAGTATATTTTTTGCTACAAAAATTTCGTTTTATATATAAATTGATTTATTTTATATGATTTACCAGGAACTTTGCAATCTTCAAATAAAAGTTCACATGTATTTGATCCACGCATACCCATTTTATCAAGTTTTTGTGCAGTTGAAAAACCTTCCATACCCTAAAAATATTTCTTAATAAATTAATATTATTTTCGATAATTTCATACTTTTTCAATAAGAAATGCTGTTATACCATGTTGAGGTTTTTCAGTCGATGGATTTGTTTTAGCATAAACAACAAGTACATCAGCATCTGGTCCATTTGTAATCCAAAATTTATTTCCATTAAGAACATAATAATCACCTGAAAAATATTTTCATCATAAAATAATTCAAAATATATATTATCAATTAATTCTATCTTATATTTGCTTATAAATACAATTATTTGTTCATATAAAGAAAAATTTTAAAAAAAACTACGTAAAGTTCTTTTTCAACAATTGCTATAAATACAATGAAATATATCTTTTTTTTTATTATAATCTATCTCGCTAATTGAAATATTCTATATAGAAAAAAAAAGAATTAATCATGAATAGATTCAGATTTGTCTCCAAAGATTGAGTGCGATTTATCGTCAGGTAATGGTGATGGTATTGATATCGTTTCAGGGATTCGTAATTGTGGTGATACGGCTATGGGTAATGGTGGTGGTTGTGGTATAAGTTCAATTACTGGTGGTGGTTGTGGTATAAATTCAGTTAAGGGCGGTGGTTGCGGTATAACTTCAGTAACTCTTGGTGGTTGTGGTATGACATCAACTGACCGTGGTGATGTTGATCTCTTTTCATCTTGTTTCGTATTCGGTGACTTAGATTCTTGTTTGGAATGTACTGGTGTTTCTTTGTCTTTTGATTGAGAATTCGATGATTTTCCATCTTTTTTTGTTTGAACAACTAAAACTGGTTCTTTTGGACGTCGATGACGATGACGAGAAGATTTTCGTCCATCATATGATTGATATCTTTGATACGAATGATACATATTATGTGATGTTGGTGAAAGTGTAACATTACGTTTCTTTTTTATTTTCGAATATTTTCTATTGTTTAAATAATGAATTATTTGTGGATGTTTTTCTAAATGATTATATGCTTCTTTTAAATGAGAATAATTATCAAGTATTTTTGGATCAATATCAATTAAATAATTATTTGTTTGATAAACAACTAAATCTGCAAGTGAGATTTGTGTTCCTAAATAAAATGGACCATTACGATTAAAGATTTTATAAAATTTTTCTAATTGATTTAAATATTTTATTGCATGATTAACAATAAATTGTGATAAAATCATTTTTCGTTCTTCAATATTTGTTGTACTATGCATTTGTTCGAAGAATTTTTCTTGAAATACTGAATTGATTTCAAAAATCATATCGACAATAGCAAAATCTTGATTTCCTGTACCATATAAACAAAATTCTCGTGCTAAATAACGTATAATATTATTTAAATAATAAATTTTAAAATGATTATTAACACGTAATATAGGTAATTGTTGAATAGGTATATTATCTTTAACTCTATCCCATTCTTCTTGTTTAACACGTTTATCTTTAAATGAAATACCAGCAAAATAAAATATAAAACGTATTATTTCACTTTGATTATTTGTATTAAAATCGTATAATTTAAATAATGAAGCATTATCTTGTTCATTATTTGTTAATTGATGAGATGGTAATTGTTGTTGTTGTTGTTGATATGGGGAATTATAATAAGAACCTTGTATAGGTTGTTGAGTAGATGTTGTTAATCCTTGATTACAGTTCGCTAATAAACCTACAAATGGTGCCGAACCGTAAGGAGTTGTATAAAAACTTACACCATTGCCCATAATCATTTTTGTATCGTTTGATCAAAATGAATACATTTATGTTTCGTATATAAGTAATCAATGGACCGCATCATATTTGTACGTATATTACTCATTAAAAAGCTACAAAATCTTTATTTATAGATATTGATACTTGAATACAGGCGTTTATATATATCAATTATAATGATATGGGAATAATTACATTCGATACACAAAATTTATCCTTCAATTATTCTTATGAAAGTAAAACGAATCATTAACAAACCTTTTTTTTCTGCTTTTAATTTCATTGAAACAACATCAGAACCTGAACCTGGTTCCGACATAGCTAATGCGCCAAAATGTTCACCGGTAATCAGTTTTGGTAAATAATTTTGTTTTTGTGTATCATTTCCATTACGAACAATTTGATTAACACAAAGATTTGAATGTGCACCGTAACTTAATGCAATTGATCCACTTGCACGTGAGATTTCTTCCATAGCAATACAATGTTCAGTATAATGTAAACCCAAACCACCATATTCAACTAAAAAATAATTTCATAAAAATATGTATAGATGATTATTAGATATTACAATGAGTTTAAATCAATTAAACTGGTCTTATAAAGATTATATTTCTTTCTATATGGATTTACGAAGAGTTTTAATCGAAATTGAAAATTTCTGAGCTCGAACATCATTTTTAATACATTTGTGTTTTATCCGAATCTGATAATCATTAGAGACTAGTCATGAAACAAGTCGTGTCAGAAGTTTTATATAACTCATTAAATATTACATTTGCTTTTCGAAAAGAAGCTATGACAAAAATAAAGCTGAAAAATCAAATTTTAACAAATAATAAAAGAAAAAATTCTTGAAAATTATATTGAATCATATTTATATACAAAATATCGAAAGATTTACATTATTAGTAACCATATCAAGGTTTGAAAAACAATACTTGTTTATAGACACAGACAATTATGTACACTATTAGTCAGAACAAGATAATAAGTATACAAATGTATAGTCAAAGTTTTTTACGATGAAATGCTTGAAGGTCGATGCGGGTGATATATTAATCTATCGCCTACATCCATTGATTTGGTTTTTATTCGATTATTTTGGATTTTTTTTCTGAGAAATTCTCACTAATATCTAATTTTGAATCAAGCATGATATTTTTATATTAAAATCATATTAGTATGATCAAATTTTAAAGAAAAAACATTAAAATTTACCAGGTGCTGTAATACCCAAAAGACCAACGTCACCAAGTTTTTTCCAAAATTCCTATAAAAAAACGACAATCTATTATATATTTTCAAATCGAATTCATTTATGATATTTTACACGAAGTTTTGGGAATGTATTCGTTTTATCGATTTCATTTGCATATGGTGCTAATTCTTTTTGTGCAAATGTGAATACAGTTTCTCGTAACTATTTTGATAACAAAAAAAAAGCATAAGAATCTTTTTGAATCAAACAGAAAAATAAATCAACCTGTTTTTGATCATCTGTAAGACCATAAATATCATCATTTATAGCATAATATTGTGTTGATGATTGTAATCGTTTAAATATTTTTACTGATGATAACAGAGATTGTCTGTTTACGGAAACTAATCGACTCCACATGAGAACTTTTACTTTTTATTTTTTTTATCTTAAAAAAAAAGAACAAAGTAAGATGCTGATTTATTAAATTTCAATATCTTCAATAATATTTTTATTATCAGTTATCCATTTATCATTTAATCGATAATAAACAATTGAATGTGTTTGTTTATCAAACCATTCAGATATTTCTTTTGAATATTTCAAAATATATACAATAGTTTTTTTCATATGTAATAAATATGATGAACGTTCTTGTTCAGGTGATGTTGATGTCATAGAAAGTATTTTTTGATCATCAGAAAAATAATACATATATAAAGGTTGATAATAACGTCGAATAAGATTTCTATCTATAAAAAATTCTTTAAGTGTCACATTTCCTTTCAATGATGAATAAATACACCATGCAATATGATTATCAACTGAAACATAAACTGAACGTAAACGAAATGCTGGTCCATAATCAATAAAATTCATTTTACATATAGATTTTGTATTGACATTAAAACAAATACCATATATTAATGGATAATGAATATTATTAATAATATGATCATTATATGGTGTTATAGCGGCAAGTTTAAGATAAAATGAAATATTTGGCATTTTAGAAAATAGATTGAGAACTTCATTGCTTAATTTAAGAGAATATTGCCGATCGGAACTATCAAGAAAACCACCTAAAATCATATATAGTTAGAAATATTTTATTCTTATATAATAATCAAACGATAAGTAACGTAAAATTTACGAGATTAGTTTCTCTCTAGTAATGTTTAGTATAGTTGGAAAAATTCGAATCTATTGATAAGTTCTATCAATTCCAAAGTTCTTTTATTAAATTTTATAAAACAAATCATATTGCTTTTTCTTTAAATACAACTATCTTTATTATCTACTGAAAGACCAAGTGTTTCTTTTCTCATACAACTGTCAATATCAATAAAAGAAAATTTTTGCTCGTAAGTTCTTTTACAACTCATTCATTCTATTTATCTGCAAATATCAATAATAGATTTCTATTTTCTCGCTCACCAACAAGATAAACATCATAATTCACATTTTCAGGTGCATACTGTTTCATTTCTTGTAACATAAGTTCGATACTTTGACTCGTATCTCCACCATCTAAATGCATTAATCCAACAGCGTATTGATTATCTAATACAAGTATATGACATGTTGTTGCATCATCACTTCCAATTAAATAAAATCCATTTGGATCATTTTTTGCTAATACAGCAAATTCACGTTGATGAACATAAATAGTTTTTGATATATCTTCTACAGATTGTTTATATTCATTTGTTTTAGCAAATTCACAAGAAGAATGAATTAAATCTTTATGTTGTGCTAGATTTTCTAGTGAACATGTATTAGAATAAATTTGTTCATTAATTACTAAAACCATCTAAAGTAAAAGAAGTTTTAATGCAGGTATAGAAAATTTTCTGTTAGCTTCTGTTTTTGATCGAATCAAGGTTTACAAAAAAAAAAAAAGACAAGAATTACACACAGGCTGATGTATATATATATATATTTATTGATTTATTTATAGTCTAATGTATTCGTGCAAGTTCTTCGATAATTTTGACTAGTTCTTCGACTGTTGTATTGATTTGAGTATTATTTTCTCCCTAAAAATGAAAATTTATATAAAAGAAAAAAAGACTTGTTTTTGAACATACGCGTAAATCTATAATAAGATCTTGTTGTACTGATTTTGGTAAATCAAGATATGTTTCAATAAGATCACCATCAACAAAACCACATGAAACATCTGAACGTCCATCCGATTCAAATGAACGCCATGTACCATGATCAATTTTACCAACACTTGGAACATATTCAGCTAAAGCTAATTGTACTGACATAAGTAATTGATATAATGGTGGAGTTAATTGAAGAAGAAGACCAATATAACCCGATACTCCACCCATTAAAGTACATGTATCGACTGATATTGATGATTCTGCTGTTTGTTGTGTTACAAGACAACCTATATTATACAATAAGTAAAAATGAAATAGCGAAATTCTATTATGATTTTTTCCTTTTCTCTATTTCGTACTTTATCTTGTTACGCACGAGTAAAGAACTGAACTGACTAGACTAGTCCATTTATCTAAGATTATTCAAAACTATTTACTTCATATGTTATTAATTTAATCTGATAATTATTCTGCAAACAGTTCTATTCTACGATATTGGCTAATATTACTAGCAGTATGCCAATAAATATATTGCGAATTCTTTCTATAAAAAGTAACAATTTTTGACGAATCTATTTGCTTGTAAAATTCATAAAGTAGATTATCGACAGAAATACATTTAAAAACAAAAGTCTATTTACCATGTCGAAATACATTAATATTTTCTCCTAAATGACATAATCCAAGTTCTTTCAATACATTTCTTTCATTTTCTTTTGTTGAACCACTATCTTTATGACATGAAATTAAATTTCCACCATCTTCTGCACATATAAATGTATCATCATCAAAAAATTCACATGCCATCGTCCATTGTGGTTGAACATCATGAGCAATCTATAAAATAAATTAATTTAATCGAATAAATTTATTCAAATATGTTTACTTCTTCAAATTTTCCTTCATCAGTATTATATCGTAATACAGTTATAGATTTCATTAAATCATTAAATAAAACAAAATCATCTTTTATTTTCACTTGTAAACAATCAATATGTCCTAAATATTGTGTTAATTGTATTAATTCATGATTTTGTGGTGAGAATTTATATAAACGTATCTAAAAAAACAAGATAATTTAGTTTATTAAATAAAATTTTAGTATTATTATCTTACAGAACTACCAACAGCAATAAGAAGTTTGCCCTGAAATGCTAACATAGCATGTGGTGCACCATTTAATTCTTTTTCAGTAACCATATTTAAATGACCACTTTTATAACGATATAATATAACACGACCAACTTTTGGTGTATCTTCATCTTCAAATATAATTGCAGTACCAACAGCAATATATGACGATGAAAGATCATCAGCAAATGTTATTACACATACACTTAAAGCTTCTTCACGATTTAATAATCGAACTGATACACGAGCTAAAGTAGTAAAATTTATTTTAGAAACTATAACAAAGAATGTCGGGGAAAAATAATGAGAAAGAAAACTTGTGTCTATGTTTGGTAATAATAAAATTTAGATTCAACTAAAGACTATTTTCATTGACTTATCGTAACTGCTATGATAGTGATGTCAAGTAATCCGGAAAAGTTTTATTCGAACTTTATCAATGATAGATAAGTAAAAGGTGTAGAAATATTAGAGACAATCTGATGAGCTTATTTCTTTGAAGCTACTAGAAGTGAGAATCCTTCGAGATGCTCGGTACGATCGATGTCGTTGTTGTAGCTGTGGATGAGGGTGAATGTAGGTGTGAATCATAGATAATGACTACTCTTCTTGCACAATCACACCCTTCTTTTCGAGATTTTTATTTTCCGGATAACTTGACATATTCGTTATGATCACAAAACAAGAAAAGAAGTATACTAGGAAAATCGAAATCTAGAAGTTTATCACATTTATTAGATGGCAAGTGGTTCGAAATAGTCAAATTTGACTAAAAACATTTTGGGCATACATACAGATTAAGGTAACGATGCAGTGTAATCACTAGTTAGTCTCTCAATCTCAGCTTAATTCGTTAATATCATATCAATCAAATTGATATATACCTTCATGTGTATGTTGATCTAAGATTACAATTGAATCAATAACATCATTTTGTGATGGAGGTATAATATCATTAATATTTTTTATTGTTGTTGTACAATCTATTTTTTGATGTGCTTGTTTACTAATTGGTGTTATATTATCTGTTTGAAATATATCCATATATTGTGTTAAAATAATATAAGCTTTTTCTTCTTCCATAAATGCAATACGTCTTGCTGGTTCACCTAATACTAATGAACGTACATGTAACTTTTGTATATCATCTATTCGACCAAGTATAAGTCCCATATCGGTAACTAATGTTAAACTTGCTCCATAATATTCTGAATGAAATGAACACATACAAACAATTTCACGTAGATTAACAGCAGAAAATACAAGTTTTGTATTTGATGATGATATAACTGATGGACGATCACTACAAGCAAATAAAACTGTACGTTGTGTTGAAGGATCATTTGATGATGATGTACTATTTGGTGATAAATCTGTTCGTTGACATACTGTTAAAGTTGTTGGTTTTGTACCTAATGAAACTTTTTTTCGTTCATATAAAATTCCTTGTTCAGTATCAAGTAAATAATAAACTATAGGACCATCAGCTAATGAAATAACAACATACGGTTGAGAATCAAATGTTATCATTACTACTGATCGTGGTAATGTATCTAAATTAAAAACAAAGAAATATTATGTAGATGTAACTAAAGAAATCTTTTAATAACTAACCTGATGTCAATGGTTCTTTATGTAAAACATCAAGTGTTGGTAAACGATAAATCCAAACTGATATTTGTGTCCAAAGACCAACAACACAAAGACTAGTACGTTCTTCTTGAGGATTCAATGGTGTTACATCCAAACATGCTATATTATATGGTAGTTTACATTTACTAAATGAAAAAAATATTCTTCTATATATGTATATTTATAAAAAAGCTTTACTTGATTTCAGTTAAACTAGATCGACCAATTTCAAAATAAAATAATTGATTTCCACTAGCACATACACATTGAGTTGTATTTGATGAACCAACAGTTATTTCATTCTGTTCATTTTTCCATTCAATCAGTAAATCTTTTCCATTATTACCAATTAAACGTATCGAATGTGTTGTTATCTAAAATTTAATATTAAATAAATAAAAGATAATTTTTTTTGAATACTTGTAAATATTGATCAGATATAACATTAGCACAAAATAATGTTTGATGTTGAAAATCAAATCCTGATAATTCAACTTCTTCAATTTCATCATTTTGTAAATGAAATAATCTAAAATAATCAAATCAATTATAATAAAAACAGATAAATTTTATTTACCTTGTTTGATCAAAAAATGCAACAACAAGATGATTATCATAATGATTGTCGATTTTTAATGCCCAAATTCCTATGAAAACAAATGTTTAAATAATAATTATCTTTAAAAAATAATTTACCTTTGATATTTCGTAAATCTATTGATGCATGTTCATGAATCCCAATACCAGTTCGAATAAAACGTAATGATGAATCTTTTCCATTACCAGAACATGTTATTAACTAAATAAGAAAATTGTATAGAACTACAAATCTACTCATCCTCTGATTATTAGAATTTATACTGATTTAACTAGACGTAGTTTCAAATCGATTCAAACTTTTTTAGTATACTTAAGGAGTTGATACATTATTCTCGATTTATTCCTTTGCTTGGGGGTATCACTCGTTATCTTTTATCTTATAGTTTAATTATCAAAAAAAGAATTAGTTTCGTATTATCTCGTTGTTTTAGTCAATATTTTTTTTCCTCGTATCTCACCTGTCGACCTTGTCGTTCTAAATCTACAACACACATATCAACAATCGGTGCAAGATTTGTATAAGATTCAAGTATTTCTAGATGACTTCCATTTTGTGGTTCTGGTAATAGCTAAAAATTCAAATGAAGAGAATATTGATATTGAAAAGAAAAAAAGAAAATTTACTCGTATAAGTTGACTATCACCAAATCGTGATCCAATAAAAGTAACACCATTATCTAAATAAGTTATATATTCACACATAGATGTTTCACCAAGAAGATCCAACTAAAGAATAAATTTCGAAATATTGAATTTATATAAATAGACATTACTTTGATATCGGTTATAGTTGTTGATGAACTTCCATTACGTTTATCACGTTCAAGCACAAGTAAATAAAGTTTACCAGAATAATCAGTTAATAAATAACGACAACCATCTTCATCAATAGGACAATAACCAATGATTGAAGCTTCATCCTATGATGCAATGAAAACAATTATATTGTTTCTATCATTATACTTATAAGTCATAAATAGCAGAGTATTTCTAATCGATTTCCTTAAAAAATAACTTTCATATATGTTCATTATCATATGTATCCACTGATGTTTTCCTTGTTTGTATTACGCAACAATCGTGAGATAAAGAAAGGAGCTTTCAATTTTTTCTTTCGCATTCTTTTCAGTCTGTAACACTAAAGAATACTGAAATTTTGCGATAGTTTAATCTAAATTTTCAAATTCCGAGGAGAAACTAATTTAAAACCTAAGACCGAGAAAAGTTGTAACGAAATCTACATAAACATGTTGTAGTCACATGGTAGTCTTGAACCATTTTCATTCCTCGATATGGCATTTTAGAAGCTGAAATCTAATCCGAAACAACAATTAATAAGTAATTTGAACTGAAAACTCTCTGATTACAAGCTAGAAGAAATGGAATAATCTGCACTTAATATTCGAAATCCTATTCTGGATATGATAAGACAATCAAGCAAGAGTAAGTGAGAGATCTGTACCGGTTATGAAAAACTTTGCTATCTTCATCGTTTTAACGAGAAATGTCAGCGTGCGCAATAAACGATTTAAATAATAGTGAAAGTAAGGCAGATGATACATTGTGTATTATGTAATGCGTAACATTAAAAAGCGCTTCTGTAGTAAATTGCATGTTAAAATATAGTGAAACCTACCGATGAGTCTCATCGCGTCAAAAGGACTAATCAGTATGAAATGCAATAACAACATTCGATTTTAGAAACAATTCTCTTTAAAAATGATGTATAATATTGCTAAATGATTAAAAATAACTTACATCAAGTAAAGATGATTCAACTTCTAACGGTCGATCATTTTCTTTATATAAAGCCACTGCATTTCTTCCAATAGCAATACAACTAAAATTATCTTGTCCAACTAAATAGAATATAAAATAAAATCCGAATTAATTTCAAATGAAAATTTACTTGGAATAACAAATGATGCTTCACTCAATGTCATATCTTGTTTCCAAATTAATTTCGTAATATCTCTTTCTTTTAATTCAACTTGATATGTACGTATATGATATTCTTCTTGATCATGATTTATCACTGATGTTTCATTTGCTCGCTAAAAAAAACCAAATTCGAACTATAAATATTTGAAATATTAAATAATTTTACTGGATGTAAAACAATAAATGTTGGTTTTTGATGTCCAGGTAAAAATTGTATATCAATAATATTTTGTTCATCAATTCTATAAGAAAATTTTTTATTTTTAAATTAAATTACGAGCTTTTTTTTCTCTTGTCTTACTTAACATTATAAGCTTCTAAACTTTTTGATGATGATTCTTTTGAAGATAAATCTTTTAAGTAAATTAATTTAATAACTCCTTCAAATATACGTAATAAAATAAGACCATGTTTAGCATCAATTGTACATAAGGGTTGTCGAACTGTCTGTCGACCTGTATCCTAGGAAAATAAATCGTTATTTTATTCCTATGAAAAAAATATTTGATAATTTACTTTTAATAATCCATGACATTTAGTTAAAATTTCATATTGATCATGATTCGTTTTTCGACAATCTAAGATCATTCCTTGATATTTGTCAGTAAAAATAAATAATATATCTTTATTCATATTCTATTTAAAAGAAAGATTTCGAAATATTTTATTTGAATAAATTTAAATTTTCTTACAGGTAATCGAAAACATTTGAGAATATGAATTTGTCCATAAATACAAACATCTTTAACTAATTTTAAACCTTCAGAACTAATAATATAAATTTCAAAATGTGTATTTTTAGCAACAATTAAATTAAAATCAGTTGGTGATGTAAAATGACCAGTTGTTATAGCCGTTACGGCTGTTGGCCGTTGAACGGTAACAACATAATTCATAGCAGCCATTCGAGATAATATTCGAAGCGAATTTTCTTTTTTTAATTTGTCATTATAATAACATAGTATCTAAAAGACGAAGTCTTTTATAACTCGTACAGAATAAAAACCAATAGAAAATTATACATCAGATGGCACTACTGTTATGTTGATAATATATACTTTTAAAATATATGAATTCAAGTCAACTAGTCAGTGGCAGATTTTGGCAGGGAAGGGGGGCGATACCTAAGTAGGCAGGGGCGGTACCTGGAGAGGGGGGGGGGGCGTTTTTGACTAAAACCTATTTTTGCTATAAAAAATCAAAAAAATTTTCTGAAGGGGGGCCGATCGCTCCCCTAAATCCGCCACTGCAACAAGTCGATTTTTTGAATTTAATAATGATCTAAGGAAGTATTTTTTTAGAGATAGATATGAGTTTTATGATTGAACTATGCTTAGTAAATTTTTAAGATTTCGCCATATTTTATTGATAAAACAACAGCAAAAACGATATGTATTTTTGATATAGTTGAAGGAGAAATAACACATTTATATTTGACACATAGGTGGGTTGACAAAACCAAAAACATTCAATTCAATTAACAAAGCAAAAATGACGAACATTCCATAAACAGCAAGAAAAAAAATACCAAGAAATTTATCTAAATACCATTTTCTACCATGAATACTAAGTATCTAAAATTACAATAAATTTCTTATGTAAATAAAACTCAAAATCATATCTTCTTACTGTTACAGCTACAATACCAAGAAGTAAGACTGTATCATACATAAGTCCATTGGAATTAATATGTACTGCTTCGCCAGTAATTAATGCTTTGAAAAACCATGGTAAAGCAAGTCCAATAAGTAAATCAAATATATTTGAACCAAATGTATTCGATACACCCATATCCACAAGACCTAATAGAAAAAAAATTTTTATACTTTATTAAATTTTGTTTTCCTATAATATTTAAATCATACCTTGACGAACAACTAATACACTACTAAGTGCATCTGGTACACTACTTCCTGCAGCCAGAAATGTTATTCCCATAACACTATCGGGTATACCAAATGTAAAACCAATAATTGTTACCATCCAAACCATAAAATATGTTAATACACATAACCAAGCAATTGCCATTGTAAATGTTAATGGATACCATTGAAATCGTCTATGAATAAATATATATTTATTATTAAAATTTTCGAGAAAAAAAGTAGAATGTCTTACATTGGATTTCGACAATCAGGAATAGTAAAATGATAAAGTATTTTAATTGGTGCAAGAGCAACCCATTTAGCAAAACCAATTGGATCATAATTATGATTAGGAATATTTTTCCAATCATTATAATCTGTATCGATAGCTAACAAACTGAAAAAATAAAAAGTTTTAATTGAATATATATATATCATAAGTATACCTTGTTGATCGTCCTTGATAAAATGAAAATCGTCTTTCGTTTGCAGGTTTTTGTGGACGAGTAACACCTTGTTGCCGTAATTTCATCTATAAATTAATAAATAATCATTAAAATTCTATAAATATTTAATCATACTTGACTAATAACAAAACGAACGGCCATTTGAAATCTCGTATAACTTCGAAAATGTCGTGTCATCATTAATTGAAATATTGTTGTTTGAAAATCAATCGGAATACGTGCCATTGCAATAAGATTATCAATTGGAATTTTCGATGAATTTTCTCTATCTCCTTCAAATCGTTCTAGAAATATAAATCAAAAACGAAAATCTTAATAAAATTTTCTTAAAAATAACATACGATATGTACTATTCATTCCATAATTTTTTTGTGTATGAGCATAATTCATTATTGGTTCTTCCGGTGCATTAAATGTTTGAAATACTTGCCATCGCTGAACAACTATTTGCTGTATTTTTTTATTATTACTATAAAGAATTCAAAAAATATATATCGATAATATAAGATTAAAAACAATTCATTTACCACATAATTGTAATATATCCAGCATACATAAGAAGAAGAAATACTGATTCGAATAATGTTATTCGACTATCTGATAAACACTATTCATTAATAAAAAAAATGGAGATATATTTTGTTTCAATAGAACTTACAATGATTAAAAATAAGATGGAGATGGCATAATACACAGAATCTCGACATAATGGCCTATATAAGAAAAAAATAAATTATAGGAGAATTTTACAAGCTTTATATTTATTCCGTTTCATTTAATTTCATTAGTACTATTCGTACTCATTGATCTTAACCCCCATGATGTTGTCTACCTATCAGCTGATGTTTTCCTTACGGTAATCGAAAATAAATAACATTCTAACACATCGACATGTCACTTTACATTAGAATTTATTCAGTGTAAGAATCACACATTCCCATAGGATGATTTAGTCTTCTCATTGTTCGAAATAAAAACAAAGATCGATAAAGGAAATAAACCGTTTTCTTAATGTCGAATGATGGATGATGATATCTCGCATGGAAAATCAATATTTATCTATGCATGATAAATCATCAACTAAATGTTTCTGAAGCACGGAGACTTCAAATATATAACATGTATACATACCACCAAGTTAATCGAATAGCCTAAAACGAAAAAAATTTTTTTATTATAATATTTCTTTCTTTTTTCTCCTAAAAAAACATACTTCATTAACAAATAATCCACAGATTCCAATTACACATACTATATTAAACACAGCTGAACCGACAATTGTTCCTACACCGACATCACCTTTAGCGACGAAAATTCCTAAAAAAAAAGATTTTATAATAGAAAAGAAAATATTTATTTTAAATATTTCTACCAATAATTGCAGTAAATAGTTCTGGTGATGATGATCCACCGGCCATAAATGTTGCTCCAGCAACATCTTCATCAAGATTTAATGCCTATAATATATATATATATATATACATTAATTATGTATATATTCATAATCATTAAATATATACCGCACACAGTTTGTCAAGTGCCGCAATAAAATATTCATCAACAACAATAGCAATCGCAATGAAAATATAAATACAAGCAATTAAATGGAATATTATAGCTCCCTAAGAATATTATTTATTTAAAAAAAGAACTAATTATATTAAAAATTATTTACAGAACGTCGTTGAGATTGAGTGAATAAATCATCGGGAAATTCATTAATCGCTTTAATTAAGAAATAAAAAAATATAAATACATCGTATGTTTCTTAAGATTTCATATAATACTTACAAGGTTCAGTACAATTTTTGATTTGTCCTGGTTGCCAACTAATTGTATTCAATGAAAGAGTAGTAGTAGTTAAAATTGTCGAAGTCTTTTCTCGATCCAATATTTCTAAATAAAAACATCATGCTATTCGTACACTATAAGATTAAAACCTTAATCCTTCGAAAGAAACACACTGCATGCCAGATTTTCTTTTTTTAATATCTATATCTCATAACAATAAGATTTGTTTTTTTTTTGCTATTCTAACCATTATTAATAGTTGTTTTTTGTAATCGATATTTTCCATATGGTTTTCGATTAGGAGTAGCATCACTTGGTCGAAATTGTTGTCCAATAATATGTGCTAAAGCCAATCCAACAAGAATTCGAATAAAAAACTTGACATTATGTCGATTGACAAATTGTCTATGTAATAGCGGATGCGTTGGTTCTTCAATCATAACACTCGATCTAATGAATATTGAGTATTATTCTATTCTTCATTTGCATTGTTGTTTAAGAGCGATCATCCTAAGAAAAACTAGAAAGACAAAAAAACAGAGAGAGAGAGAGAGTTTGGTTTTACTGAATGAGAGAGAAAGAAAAAGACACGATTCTCTATAGGAAAAAAAAAAGAGAAAAGGCACTACTGCGCAATTAATTATTGCAAATAAAGAAGAATAAGCTAAAGGAAAAAACGTCTTTTACCGGAAACAGAAAGAGAAGACAGGAAAAAATGTCAGCAACATGAGAGTAGATATACAAAAAAAATTGAACTGGGGTAATGCAATGAGAAAAAGAAATGTCTATT